AGAATGAAAAGTGATAAAAAAAACCTGTAAATTGCATGTTCTTACATTTGCCGAGCCCTGTTATCTTGGCGTATTATGTTGTTAGCCTTGACTTTTCCTTTAACCTTCTAAACTGCACTGACACTTTGCAAACAGATGCTTTAAAGTTTGCAGTGAAGAAGTATGGTTATAAGTAACACCATGGCTTGTCTCTTATTGCAGGAATTCACCAGCTGTGCTGTAATCACTTATTGGCTACTACTCCTGCCAATCACATGTATAAATAGATACTGGTATATAACAGCTATTACCGTACTATCAGTATAGTTATTAGGCCAGAAAAAAATACTCAGTTTCTGGTCACCATGTGTGTACATGTCATAGCCTTTTTTTTCTTGGATCCATTCTTTTTTGTCAGAATTCAAGAAACAATTTACGAAATAAAAAGCCAGCCACACATGTGGAATTTTTTGGCTCCGCTATACAACATATATAAGGTATTAAATAGCATTACTTATATATCAATACCAGTGAATTTTATAATGCTATCACTGCTGATAATTTGCAATAATGTATCTTATTCATCCTGTAAACGCTTCAGCATGGACTCCAGTCAATGTTCTCTGATGTTTTTTTAGTCTCCTGTCGGAAGAAGTCGGAAGAATAACAACAGATTTTATTTTTGGCCATATCTCTGTCACCCATGTATCATTTTCATTGATATTTAGCATGTCATAAATGGATACATGTACATGTCAATTCAATTTGATCAAATATGGCTGACTGGCGGCCATATTGTTTGTTTAAAATGTGATAACTTGGATATGCTTAGACATTTTTGAATCGGGCCTATGCCTATCTTACTCTTAATGTTGGCGTTTGTGTTTTTTTTCACATGCCAGATATTCTGACCTACGCTTTAACGCTTGCCATTCACCCTCAGGGGTTATTCACATTGATGCTACTTTTTGATTCGCCAATTACATGTCTCATTGCATTTTGTCAAGTTTCAAGGACACACTCTTGCCAACCCCTCCGCTCTAATATGACTAGCACAAAGAGAACTTTCAAAAATTTAATGTGGACTGTGTCAACTGCTGTGTCATTTTCAATGACTTGTTTTTTTTATTTATACAGCCACATTAAAATCAATGTCTTTTCTGTAAGGTTTGATCACTTGCTACACGTCTTCTGGCTTAAAAAAATTAATCATCAAATTACTGGCCTCTCGTAGCATTGGGAAATTGAACACTACGATGCTACTCCACACCTTACATCATTAAAACTCATCCACTCGCAATGTAAATGATTGCGTTTCTTATTAGATATATCAAAACTCGTATTGTTCACATTTTATTTTTCCATATGACAATGTGAATGCCCAGAATGAATTTTCTGACTGTGCAGATTCTGGGGCCAGTGACCGTCAAACTGATATGTTCACTGTGGACTTTTCTCTCCAAGTTTTCTGCTTTATAGGGGCAGCAAATTCATTGACGCTACAAAATAACAATAATGAACTACAGCACATTTTGCTCCCTCCAAGTGTGCTTTCACCCATTATGAGTTGGTCCATTATATTGTTTAATTAGCTATTTATACTGTATTAGCTATACCATATAATCTATTTAATGTCATAGCAAACAACGTATTGACTGTATATACATGTAATAGTTAGACCTTGTGCAGTAATTATTGATATCCATATTAAAAATACCAGTTTTATAATTTCTTGGAGTGAACTATTTGCCATATAATTATACTAACCTATGTAATCGGCCAAATACGCTAGCTAAAATATACCTACATGTATGTAAATCCAATGTCTTTACAAACTATGAACCAAATTGGTCCAGGCACACAAAAAATAATGCAAGAGGGGGGGGGGGCTGGCTACAAAATAACACCGACAAAAGAATTCTCCATCTGGTTTTGTTCCGACTTTCACACAATCACTTGAAGGACTACAAAGATTTCCCTTAAATGCTATATTTTATATACACTTTATTACAGACAATAAAACAATAATAAAACTGCAGCATGCACTTTGCAAAAATGGTAAATCTATAACCTTGTTAATCATAAACATCCCTACACAAATAATGGTAGTGACTATAAACACAGACCCTATACAGCATGCTATAGAAAAAGTAGAAACTGATGAGCCATTCCATTTTTGAATAGGTAAGTCAGGTTACATTATGATCAACCTTGTAACATAAACTGTACAATAAAAAAATCTGTGTCATTTAAATAATAAAAAAAAAAGATCTAAGTGTGCAGAATAAGGTTCATTTTAATGACAGCTAAAATTACACAAACGACTACCGGTAAGTCCGAGCTAGAACTTCACCCGTTGATAGTCACTCCTAGAAACTTGGCTATCCAATTGTGTTTGTAGTGTTACCGGTACGTTCAGAGACTGCTGTAGTTTTAATTGGAACTGTGGTGATAATATTCCTTAAGTGGAAATGGCAGGAGAGGCTTAATATTTGGACATCAACTACAACCCATACCATATTTTATATCTGAAAGTACCTTGATTTCTAGTTTAAGATAAAAGCCTACTCATGAATGAAAACGTCTAGAATTTAGACATTTTGCAAACACCCAAAACAACACAGTTTCAGAACTTTGTTTTCATACAAAGTATGGCTGACTTTTTCAACAATCACAAGTAGACTTCAAAATGATACATCAGATGAGAAAAAACTAAACATATCTTAATTAGTTAGTACTGTAAAGATAGTCATTGATAAAACATATTTTAACATTTCATGAAATTAAGATTGTTTTCAAAACATGAAGGTCTTTAATAAATTATGTTTTAATTTGTACATATTTTAACATCTTTTCTTTGGTTCTATTTCATTATTCACCGGGCATAGCCCCCCTCCCCCAATGAACAAAACACAGTGAAGACCCCTAAAGCCCTTTATATTAAATGAATGCCCCCCTCAATAAAAAACAAACTAGTTTACGCAAACTACACAGCGTTAGTAGGCTGTGTTATATTTATAGCTAAGACTAAAGCATTGCTACATTATAAAAACCACAGACGCCTTAGTGCTCATTTAAATTTCCTGTAATTGACATGATTTGTATACACCCATATTGGCACAGTAACAACTGACTGTTGATCTAACAGGTAAACGTTTTGCAAGAACAGATGCCTTCTGAAGGTCACATATCCTGGTATACAACTGTGATAATTTCCAATATTACACCATCAATTTCACAATGTCAGTGTTTTTTAATCATACTGTTTACAGTTTTGTTGAGTAAATAATCAAGAAATTCTTAATAGTGAATGTGCCCCCCAAAAGATACAAGGCTGTGTGACCTTTACGGGTCATGCAAAAGGCCTTTAAGTACACCACACATTGCTAGAACCCTCACACATAGGGAAATATCTCCAGCTTTTTTTCAACTGTTAATAATCAGGGCAAAATCACAATTACTGAAAAGACAGACAAGCCCCAATCGTAATGAACAAAATCATGTTTAAACTGTCATTTTCAAATCCGATATAAACACTAAAAAAAAAAACTCATTTTACCTGGACATTTTGTAATGAGAATATCCATAACTTTTATCCAAATACTTGCTGCGACATATTCAACTCAAAACTGATACATAATTTGTTTTTAACCACATAAACGAGATGCACACACTCTAATGCTGAGTACTATATCTAACATACTGACCTCTTAAGCTAATGAATAGACACATGGAAAAATTTAAGTTGCATATCATAATCCAAGACATGAATAAATATTACCAATTAGGTATAAATTATCTGTATTTGCACTATTTAATAATGTGATTAAAAGACCATCAATGAGGTGTTTGTTTTTAGGCACAAGATATCTTGCATACATGTATATGGCCTTGATTACCAAAACTTATTTCTCTCACATATCCTGCCATATGACGATTATAATATGTGATAGATGCAATCATTATTTTTTTAGGCATTCAACACGATTTATAATACTATGCAATCGTAGCTAGATACCTGTACTAAATAATTCATGCAAATCTCTCCAAAATCAAAGTACATGTAATCACAGTCACTCTACTAGGAGAGTGACTGTGATGTAATACACAGCACTAAAATGATCATTTTGAGTTGACACAACGAAAATTTCCCAAATAAGCAATTTTTGTTACCCAGAGACACTGCCACATCAATTGGCTAAGTTGGCTTGTCACATGTTTATTTTTTGTCAGAGGAGCTAAGCCAACTTTAAAACACACATCATCATCTAGGTAAATTATACCTGGTCACATAGAAAACCTCTCGGTCAATTATTTCAATAGAGAACTGCCTAGTTGAGCCAATTTCATGACACTACACCACCTTGCTAAGTTACATTTTCACAAGAAGGAGTCAACTCTGACACACCCCTTATCACAAGAAGACTTTCTAGCTAAGTCAGTTTTATCACATAGCTGAGCTGAGTTACCTGTCACAAGAACTTCCTAGGCAAGCTTCTTTGTAAGTCTGAAACACAGCTATAAACCACAGCTATAAACCCAAAATAAATTGTTCACATTAGTGAATTTTCAAAAACTTTTTTTATGTGTGTCATGTTCATCACATAAACATATATTCTCACTAAGCATAAACTGCCAGAAATCCTGGCAGAAAATAGAATAGACTGATCCAACAACTGTGTTGTCATGGCAGCAGTCATACTTCACCTAGGAGATACATGCCTTTAACACTGACAGTTCTGTTCAGCCATTTAAAACTAGAAGACGAATTCAAGTGGAAGACCGTTCACTTAAAAAAATCCTATGGGATAGAGAAAAAGTCAAAAATAATAATATTTCAAACAATGGAATATAAAATCAAGTCAGCTGGTAGTTTTTGTTAGCACACTTTGAGATAACATGATTTTGTCAACTTAAAAATTATTTTGGTAACAATAGTCACTCAAATGCAGACTTCATGGTTCCATGAGACCAAGGTATAATTGGAAACAATAAGCACTGAAAATAATATTGATCAGATCTGCTGTTCTCTCAGATCGATTTCTTTTTTCTTCCTAAGAAAAGTCAGCTTCTTTTCATAGCTGACTGGGCTAGGGGATGTCTAGAAGATACTCCTCGTTGGGTAAGGCCTTCAAAACGCTTGTATGTATAGTTTATGAAAACCCAGTCCTTGTACTTGTGTTCCTCTCCTTCTTTGGGTGCAGGAGCCACTGGTGGAATAAATATAAATAAAATCAGATTTAATTATCATCTTATGCAATTTTATAGTTTCACAAATATGAAATTTATATATACATCATATTAACATGAAATAAAACATAGCAAATCACACTTGTTCCTTAAACAGTATAACAATTATAGAAATTCAACAATAACAAGACTGACAACATACATGGTTTGAGTTCAACATCGGGGAACTCATCAAAGTTTGAAGTGTCATCAAAACTTTTGACATCGATATGTATGGCTGCTGGGCGTTCTCGGATATGTTCCCAGTCTATGCCTTCAAAGAACTGATGTGATTTGATTTCTTCCACCCCGTTAGCACCAATACGATGTTCAGAATCACAACAATATCTGAAAAGAAAAAGACAAACACTTATAAAGAAATATACAATATAATTGAAAGAAGAATACTAATAGAGAATTTTTAGTCTAAGATTCAAGGTTGATGATAAATCACTGAACTCATGTCTTGTATTTATGTATTTTCACTAGTGCAAGCACCATGCATGCCCTACTTTGAACATCAAACATGTTACCCATCTTACCCAGGGTAAGCTTAGTGTTTGGTGGCCAATCAACAATGATGTGAATACTAACTACTTCACATCAATAAATCCTGCTATAACAACTGACTTTTTTTAAAGATAGCCTTCAGTGAAATCAAATAAGAACCAAGTCACTAGCATTCAATACTAACAGCGCCCTCTACAGTCTAATCTTCAATTATCAAATATGCTGGTTCGGAAACAATTTTTTTCATTATATGTTAAGCAAAATACATTATAAATAAAGTATCTCACCTTTTAGTTAGATCTCTTGCACGAGTGGAAATGGGAACTTCTGGTGGAAACACTAAGGTCTCACGCCAATTCATTACTTTTCTGTAAGTTTCTTGTGGACTTTCTGAACAAAATGGTGGATAACCAATTAACATTTCATACATGATAACACCTAGTGACCACCAATCACAAGTGGTTGTGTAACCTGTCTGTAAAAATACCTCCGGTGCAATGTAATCTGGGGTGCCTACAGTTGAATAAGCCTTGAAAAACAAATAAACAAACAAGTTATTGCATTACATATTCACTGTGAGTTATCAAGTTTAGGAAAGATATCATGTTTGAACTTGAACAGTAAGGGCATGCCAGGCTCTGAAACAGCAATCATTAAAACAAAATGGCCACACGTTGGTTATTTTTACCTGATGTGAAAAACTAAAGAACATGCATGTTATGCTTATAGCTCCTTTTAATTTGATCTTTGAAAGTCCATTATGAATGTTTCCATCCATCATTTTGGTATTACATGTAACAGCTATTAATATTGTAAGCATTATAATGACTATTACAATAGAACAAAATATCTTGTATCTATAGTTGAAGATGTATTAATCTTACCAGTGCCCTTCTGTTCTTTTTCCAACTTTCCGCTAGTCTCTTTGAATCCATAGGTTTATTTGCTGAAATCAAACAGAATTGGGTCATGTCACATGTCTTTGATCAGCGAACAGTGAACTCACATTTTGTGAAAAGTAGAGATCCTGGACAGAGGTTCACATTTTTTATTTTCAAATAACTGATCAAATGGTGTCCTAAATGTTCATCTGTGTTTACAGACTTTTAATGCAAACTGCTTATAAAAATAGTATCTATGCAAACATTTTCATTGTGGGCTTGCTTCTCAGGAGTGGGCAGAGAAAAAAAGATATTTAACATCTTTACATGTACCGGTAGTTATTCTGACCCAACCTTCAAATATATAAATAAGATTTCATAAGCAATATTCTATGTCTAAGTGTACATTTAGTATGGGATATCATTTCAAAGCCAAAATTTAATTATGAAGAGAATCAAGGAATTCTGGTGGAGCATCAAGGTACCGTTAAAGTCCTAATATAAACCGCATACGGGGTTAAAGAGTTCATAACATAAATTGAAAACTTGAAAAGTACCTATTACTAACCGCACCCCCAATTCAACAAGACCGTGACTGACTTCATTGTTTCAACCAGCTGTTCCAAAACGGCATTGTTCCTAATCCTATTCATTTGTTTCGACAACATGCCTAAAAATATTCACACCTATTTATTGTTCAGCGGTGATAAGATGTCAGACAGGCAATGAAACTGCTTTTGTTCTGGCGGCGACCTCTGTCAATACTCTTTCTGAATACGTCTGTGTTTCGTAAGTTTTAGACAATGA